CTCGATAGGGGCCTTGCAAGCTGGTAACCGCTGCTTTGCGCGGTCGCATTTCGTTCGTAGGGCCATTAGCTAGGTTGAGCGCAGTGAAACTTTAATCCCAACATCTTCAAGTCAATCTAGTTGAGCAGTAGGTCATGCATTCAATTCTCCTTTCAGTGCACTCTGTCAGTCACCACGCAACAGCTGCCACAGTGCGCTGGAGTGGTCAGGACTCCTCGTGTAGCGAGAAAATAACTGCACCTGCAGTTGGGTGGGAACCATGGCGAACCACACAGGGTTTTCCCCGCCTGATGATCCCCACATAACGGTCTAGGTCCTCCCCAGAAGAGGTCCCTACTATGCGTGGTAGAGGTTCACGACCACAATGGAGTCTTCACCGTCCACTCCAGAGCAAAGGCCTGCCACTCGTCGGAGACGTTCCGGGTCGGGGAGAGCGTTGGAGGGTATTCGCGAACCTAGTAACGAACATGTACCCATACAATGGATAGATCCCCAAACCGGTCGCCCACTACATAGGACCCCTAGTCCACCTAACCGTAGTAGGCCCTCTACCTATAGAGATCCGAACCGTGACACGCCGGCCGCTGCTTTCGTTGCTAGCGCTGCCATTCAAAACGCACATAATGCATCCCTAATCGCCCAACAGGCGGCAACCGTTGCAGAGCAACAAACGCTCGAGGCCAACCAGGCCAGACACTATGCATCGTTCGTTGAAGCTCAAGCAACACAAGCGCTACAACAAGCAGAAGCCACCTTGCTAGAGACTAGGGCTAAGGCTGAAGCATACGTAGCACAAGCCGAAGCTAATGTTCGTAACACACAACAACAAGCACAGGCTTTTGCCGCATCCGTTCACCAGGAGAGAGAACAATATCAGGCCCAGTTGAACTCTAGAGCCCAACAATGGGCCAGGGGGGTTGAAGCTGATGCAAGACATCGTGTCCAACAACTTCAGCACCAAACTGAGCAATACATGTCAGCTCAACAGGACACTGTGCCGTGTTAGAACAACAACTGTTGGCAGAACGTTCACCGGTGCCCAATTCACCTAAATCGCCGATGACCCAAATTTTGACCGGAAGCCAGTTGTCTACGCCTGTAATGGCCTATGGCAAAGACCCAAGTGAGGGTAACCCTTTTGCGGTTGGTATGCAACTCGAATTTCCTCCGGGACTGTTGCTCAGGATGCACAACCATCCTTGCCCCTGAACCTCAAAGGTTCCCATAGACCACAGGAATACTATATAGGCTCTGTCCGTGGCACACCTCCGGGTAGTGTTGCGCCGGCTGACGGTCATGCAAGGACAAGTTGCAAGCCTAGAAGCACAAGTCTCCAGCCTCCAAGACACTGTAAAGTTGTTAGCTGGTCATTTGCAATCCCTGCTTAACGCCCCTAAGACCATGAGCCCAACCATAGGAGTTCCGGTTCCACCGCCTCCTCCACCGCCAACAATGTTGATGCCTCCACCACCACCACCTCTTCCTCCGCACGCAGCGGCCCCCGTACCGGGAACAGCTGCTGTAGCGCTGATGGGTGGTACGGGTGGAATAACCGGCGTTTCGAGTAGTTATTTAGCTGATATACCTGCCGCGTCCTCAGCGCCACCAGTCCCAGGCTTAAGCATCTTGCCGCCTGCGTACCCAGTGGGAGACGACTCTTCGAGCTCGTCATCCTCATCAAGTTCCAGCGACGAAGGCGATAGTTCGCCCAGCCGCTCGTGTAGGGTTTGTGGAGGTAACCATCCTGAGGTTGATTGTCCATGGTTGACCATGAATCGGGAGACCCCTCCTCCTCCCTCGTCTGTCGACCCAGCTGAAAGCGTGGATCCCACAGAGCAGGAGTCAGACATCGTATACACGAAAGGCTTAAGTAATCTGGTCCTGCCAAACATCCCATCAGACTCCGGCCAAGCTAGGGGGTACATAAACCAAGTTCTTATGAACGTTGGGTCCTTCAGAAGTCTGCCGGTAATGACCTTTACATGTGGGCCCAAGAGTGCCTGACCAGGGAGGATTCCGATCTATCCTCTGACAAGCGCTTCCCACGGACAGACCGGGAAATAGCCACCAAGATGTTAAAAGTTTGTAAAAACTGTGCGTTTTGGCACCATCTTTCAACGGATGGTTGAGGAATCCCGACTTGCCGGTAAAGGTATGCCATGCGGCAGAGTCATGCTTGCTACCATTTTCAGGCACTTCCAACTCGAGAAAGATCGTATTGGAATGTTAATGTTAGGTGAACGCAACCTTCTCACGCTAAGACTTAAAGGCAACAAGGTGGAGGGTTTGATTAACTTTCAGGAGAAGTACCGGTACATAATGGCGGCCATCCCTGTTGATGACCTACCCCGGGAAACCACGTTGTTTAATCATCTTCTCGATGAGCTTGACAACAGTTCACACCTTTGTCCAGTAAGATAACTAAGTCCCGTGAGGCCCCAGCTGGTAGTCATCGTAGAACCACCAAGTGGCTATGGGAGAAGGTTGACCTATTCATCGAGCTGGAACGTGTCAAGGCCAATCGACACGCCTTCGATAAGAAGCTTCGTGATTCGCAAACAGCTGATTTGGCCACGACATATAATCCCAAGTTGGTAACCGCAAACCCCGCGGCAAAGGCAGGGGAAGAAACCCAAGAAGGAAAAGGCTCCTAAGCAGGACACCACAACTGAGGTGCCCGCAGCTCCACTCGGCAAAGGTAAAGCCACACCTACAGGTCCTCCAAAACCTAAACCAAAAGGTCCTCCGACCACTCCTCGGTCGGAAGCCGTAGTTAAGGTAGCGGACATGACCATGGCACAGAAAGCAAAGACACCAGTGCATTCTTTGCCTTCAACTCCTGTCGAGCCAAGAGCTGTCCCTTCCTTCACGACGCGAATAACAAATACAAAGGGCCGCCCCCAAAGGCCCTCCGGTTCGCTAAGGGTAAGCCCCCACCTAAGGCACATGCCGCGGTGGCCCAAGTCCATGCCATGCCAGCGTTCGAAGATGGCGAGGTATCATGGCTCTGGGATACAGCTGCCGGAAGACACTTATTCGGTCGACAAGCGCTCACGCAGAGAATGCGAGAGTGCGCCTCGCCCTCAAGTACACCAGTGAACTTTACTACCGGCGGAGGCGCCCAGCAAGGTGCCGGCTCCCTCGCGTTTACGGGTAGTAAAATTCTAGAGGGCGAGGAGGTCTACATCCTTAAGGAGTGCCCACCGGCCCAATCTATTGGCAAAACGGTGATGGATAAAGGTTACACGTTCATTTGGGATCCCCGTGGACAGGTGCCGTACCTTATTCCACCAAGCATAGTCCCTAAGTGTAGACTACGTGTTCCCCGAAACCATCGGATCTGTGCATCCAGAGTTGTAGAATATGTTCCCCAGTACGATGAACATGTGCAACCTACACAGTTTGTCCCACCGGAACGATTGCAACCTCTCGGAGCTGTCGACGCAACACCTGCGGAGACCCCATCCGTCGCCGCAGACGACGTGAGCGAGCCAGTCGAGTCTGTCGAGGATGCATCTCCTAGGTCCAGTGCCATAGCGTCAGAGACCGCTGATGCATTCGCGGGGGGCATACCGCCTCATCCAGACGACGACAAGACGCCAATAGAGCTTGCCTACGAAGGGGATGACATAGGAATAGCGGATGACCCTGAAGCTTTGAAGGATGCCGCTTTCTCGGAACCGCATATCCTAACACATTACCCTAAGAATCCCATGTGCCCAATATGCCAGATCTCCAAGTCAACATCTAAGAGAGTCTCGCATAAACCTGATGTCAAAGACGCGAAGCAGCGGTTCCGGTCTGGAGCTCTGCTTCGGCTGTAGGGGTATGGAGGTTTAGATCAGGCTCTTGTCGGTTACTTAACGACTCAAGCGTGCTGGTCTCGGCTGGCAAGTCCTCAGTGGTTGGCTCAGAAACAGGAAATTGTTGATCCTCTTCGAACTCTTCCGCACCGGCGGTTACAGAACCGGGCGGTGTGAGGGTGGGCTGCGACGAAGAGATGCCTGTTGCAACCCGGGGAGCGAGAGGAGGATCGGGCTCTGATACCTCCTCAAGCTCTTGGCCCGTGGTTTCCGCGCTAGGCGCGGTTCCAACAACTTCCCCAGGGGAGGCCGAGGCCTCTTGGTCCTGGGGGCCCTCAGCAGGCGCCGTGGCTGCGGCGGCAGCCGTGGACGACGAAGCGGCGCCGGTTGCCTGTGGCTGAGGGTTGATCCGGCCCATTGCAGGGCGTCGTAGCAGTGTGAATCGTGCTGCTACGGGATCGAGGGCCGCCTGTAGCTCGGAGCTACGGCTGATAACCAATTGAGTGAACAAACCAGGAGGGACGTATGGAAACGCCCAGCTTATCCTATCCACCGGGAGGTGGTAAAAGAAATAAGCTAGATCCCTGGATGCCCTATCTATGTTAATGATAACACGAGGCGAGTCCGAAGGACGAGACCCCGTGGTTGCAAGGACGATCGAACGAAGGCACGACGGCGAACGGACGACCGAACGAAAGTGCGAAAGGCAACAAAAGAGCGCGAGAGCGAATGCGAAAGGGAGAACCAACCACAGGTTGGTTAACCCGGCGCCCTGAAGAAAACGCACGCGGCTGCGATTGCTTTCTTGAGCCATAATGTCACGAATCACATATACTTTGTATGTGTTGGTGTGAAACGTGACAAGTTGACATGACTGTACATGTGGAGTACTGTTACATGTTAGGGGCCTGTAGAAAAATGACTAGAAAGTCACCAAAAAGGATCCAGGAACGGATGTTCACCAAACACAAAAAGAAGGGCACGTTAGCGCCCACCCAAGACTTGAACCAAAATGGTGCCCATTTTGGCTAGTGACATGTATTCAGCAATCAGTAAACATTACATGCCTTACGCATGCTCTAAGCACGCACGCATCATCACTAGGAGTCTGGGAGGACCGTCATGCTCTGGCTCTGGCCACGTCATGAAGGCCGAATGACAAACATGTCAACTCTAGCGTTTTCTTGCGTTTGTTGCCTCCTCCAAGTTCGCCGCGAAGGACACAGACAGCTTCAGCTCTTGTGCCTGATATGTGGACAGCACCGAGCAACTGGGTTGTTCAGCTGCATGAGTTGTCCACCTTTGTAAGGTTTTGCGTTCTTCAAATCTCCTGTCCCTTGGCGCTTTGCCCAACAGTTTCCAACTACCGACTTGTGGAAAACCAGTGCAAATTACTCGCGGTGGAGAAACCCTCTACAATAACAGACGTTCATCTATGAAAGTGGACGTCAGATCTTTGTCTTGCTCAAACAATTTCTTCATGGCTTCTTCCGAAACAAAAAAAGGTTCTACAAACAATCCTTTATACATACATATATATATACAGTATATCAATTGTTATACTCTATGATTGCTGGTTGACTGGACCCCCGTGTGTCCTATCTAAAAGAACCCGCCACCAACCTGCACCGGTCCAGCCAAGTCAGTCCGCGCCTGGGCTTCCGCTTTGGCCCAGGTGAAGCGATTGGGCTCCACAGCCAAGACCGGCAAGATCACCTCGGCCGCCTAGGCTGTCAAGGCCCAAAAAGTTCCTGTAATGCGTGCGAGATCATGCAGATTTGAAGGTAGATGAGAAGAAAACCATTGCGTGTCCTAAGTGACAGAAAGGGGTAGCGTAGCTGTTAGCTACTTTGCATGGGTTCTCAAGGAATTTGATCTCAGGATCTCAGTGGCAGATCCATGTCCCGATTATATAGGTTACCGTTTGTACAGAGCAGATGGTCAAGCAGTTTACCCATTGCACATTCCAAAGTGTCTTTAGCTTTGTTGCAAGTGCAAACTGTACGTCCTTGGTGTGGATCTCACACCCGAAGGATTCAAAACTAATTCATTCTCTTAGAAATGTTCACTGTGCACGGCCCCATACACTCACTGCGAATTGGCGGCAAGGGATATAGGCGGAGCGGTATGGACCGGCCAATGTACTCTAGAACCGACATAGGGACACTCAAACGAAACTACACTATAGTTTCAGCAAACAGCTCATTTCGACCATAACGGACATCAGGGGCGTGTTCAGGATAAGGGCAAACCGCACTGCCACCATGAACTGCCCTGCCTGGATCGTCGGGAAGTCATTCCCACTCCCACTGCCAAGGTCTAAGATGGAACCTCCAACCTCAATTGCGACAGGTTGGAGGTTTCATATGACTCGAAATCGCCCTTTTCGATGTTTGTTTGGATGAAAATAATTAAGAAAACGAAATTGGCAGTGATGTCTCACCTTCTTGGCAATCTTCCCCGCTCGCACCATGAGCTCAGCTTCGGCAGGGCTCACTTGGTTGTCCGGGTTCAAGCGATCCACCTGCAGGACAAACCGAGTGAAACCCCTGCCATGTCGTGGTTTCTGAAGGTAACCTGTTTAGGCTATGCTGGCAATGTTTCGGCTTGGAGATCCTACCCAGCCAACTCGGCAGCCAACGCAACCATGAAGCTAATTGAAACATCAGTTTCACATAAATCAGTGGGAACCAAAAAGTGAGACGCTAAAGCAAAAAACCCAGAACAATCCCATCAAGATTGCCTTCAACCAAGTTTAGATCGCCGCCGCCCTGGTACCTGCGCAATGTACCACAGGTAGCCGTCCATTTTCCGAACCTTGCAACTGCGGGAGTTCGAGTTGCAAGTTCCAAAGCAAAAGCACACAATAGTTGGATCAAATGCAGAAATCCCATCACCATTTTTGGAACATCCTCTGTCATAAAAGAGAAACATCGCCATTTTCGGAACAACGTCTGTCAAAATAGAATAGGGACACATCAAGGAACTACTCAGCCTGGTGACGGGATATTTCGGCAACACAAGATTCCCCAAACAGTGTTCAGAAAATCGTAATGAGTAGTCAGAAAAAGATTTTGGAGTCCTATAACCATGGTGGTGGTAGTCGTAGTGGTCAAGGTCATGGTGGCAGTGGTAGTATACAATCCTGTAGTGGTAGAGTAGTAGCAGTAGTAGTCGTAGTAGTAGCAGTAGCAGTAGCAGTACCAGTAGCAGTAGTAGTAGTAGTCGTGGCAGCAGTAGTAGTAGCAGTAGTAGTCGTCGTCCTCGTAGTAGCAGTAGCAGGAGTAGTAGTAGTCGTCGTTGTAGTAGCAGTACTAGTACTAGTACTAGTAGTAATAGTAGTAGTAGAAGTAGCAGTCGTCGTAGTAGAAGTAGTAGTAGTAGTAGCACTAGTAGTAGTACTAGTAGTAGTAGTACTAGTACTAGAACTAGTACTAAAGCTTGTACTACTTAGTATTACTATTAGTATTAATATTAGTGGTCGTAGTAGTAGCAGTAGCAGTACTAGTACTAGTACTTGTAGTAGTAGGACTAGTACTAGTACTTACTAGTACTAGTACTAGTTGTACTACGAGTATGAGTATTCGTATTCGTATTGGCATTAGTAATAGTCTTGGTATTTGTCCTGGTAGTAGTAGTAGTAGTAGTAGTATTTTTATAGTAGTGGTAGTGGTAGTGGTGTGGTAGTGGTGGTGGTAGTGGTAGTGGTGGTGGTGGTAGTAGTAGTAGTAGGGCGTGGTACTGGTGGTAGTGGTAGTAGTAGTAGTAGCAGTAGCAGTAGTAGTGGTGGTTGTGGTAGTGGTAGTGGTAGTGGAAGTAGTAATGGTAGTAAGAGGAGGAGCCATAGAAGTAGTAGTAGTAGTAGTGGTGGTAGTAGTCGTTGTAGTAGTAGTAGTAGTATAGTAGTAGTAATGTAGTCGCAGCAGCAGCAGCAGCAGCAGCAGCAGGAGTAGTAGTAGTAGTAGTAGTAGTAGTGGCAGCCTCAGTAGTAGCCGTAGTAGTAGCCGCAGTAGTAGCCGTAGTAGTCGTAGTCGTCGTCGTCGTTGTATCATATATAGGGGTAGTAGTCGTAGTGGTAGTGGTAGTGGTATAGTGGTAGTGGTAGTAGGCGTAGTCGTAGTCGTAAACGTAGTCGTAGTCGTAGTCCTAGTCGTCGTCGTCGTCGTGGTAGTAGTAGTTGTTGTTGTAGTAGCAGTAGTCGTCGTCGTAGTAGTATGAGTAGTAGTAGTAGTAGTACTACTACTACTACTACTAGTAGTAGTAGGGTTGTCGTGGTAGGAAGGTTGCAGTAGTCGAAAGGTTGTTGTAGTAAAGTAGTAGTGGTAGTGGTAGTGGTAGTGGTAGTGGTAGTAGTAGTAGTAGTAGTACTACTATAGTAGTAGTATTGTCGTACTTGTCGTTGTAGTTATAGTACTAGTAGTATAGTAGTAGTAGTAGTAGTAGTAGTAGTCGTCGTCGTCGTCGTCGTCGTCGTCGTCGTCGTCGTCTGTGAAGGAGGCAGTCCTCGTTGCGCCTAACTTCCTGACCCCCGTGTTTTTCTTTTAGTTGAGGGACGGTAAATGCCGTCGTGACTTTTGGCTCAAGGGATGGTCTTTGACCCTCATGGGCGCGCCACGAAAGCCACTTGCGATACCCCAACTTCTCTGGTCGAGGGACCGCGCCGCTTCAATGCTCAGGAGGGTCCTTCGTAAACCCTCACCTGGTGTGTCATCCTGGCAGTGAGCCTGTACACAACTGATCCTGGGTTCAAGACCAAACGGCTACAGTTCCCAGAACAGCCCCCAATTGCGAAACGCCTAGCGCGTCGGCTCAAACGCGGCGCCTATATTTCCGCACACAGCTGAGGTCGACAGGCAGGTGATCCTGGCGGGACGACAAGGAACGCCGAGGAGGCAGAGCTGTGGCGCGAAGTAATGCGCACGCTCTATGGCACAGAAGGGTCCGAGATGGATCTCAGTAGTGGCGAAGAGGACGAGGAAGAGCTCGTCACAGCGCACGCGAGTCCACGCGAGGAACGTGACCGTGCGGCTGGAAGCGCCGGCCCAGCTCGGGAAGAAATGGGCAGGCAACTAGCTTTGCTGGGTAGGCCAGCCACGCCTGCTTCATCCACCATTGGGAATGAATCCGTGTTCCAAGGATCTGCGACCATAGAGCAACTTGAGCAAGTAATGGCACGGCCTTTTGACATGGCCGAAGAATCGGCAAAGAAATATGCCAGGAGGCAGTACCGCCTTGTGGACGCGCTGTCTGACCTGGGGGAAAACGTGTCGATGGCCGAAGTCGAGCGGCGAGTAGCTCGCGCTCTGTATGAAGAAAAGATTCAGGATGGTGGCAGGAGAGCAGCTGTCTGCCTTGAAAGAATACTTCCGTGAACTCCTGTTGGAAGAGCCCGATGGAGATCAAGAGGAGGAACATGCAGCTCGCCTGGACGCGCTGATGCGGATGATCCGGAGCGGGGTGGAAGAGTTAGTCGAGCAGCAGCTAAAGTCTTCTCTTCGAATGAGGGGACGCCCGAAAAAGGAAAGTCCAAGCCAGAAGGGCGAAAGGTAGAACGGGAGACTCCAGGGGTCAAAAGGAGTTCGGAATTGGCGTCAGGCGCTGAGGTGGAAGCCCTCAGGCGGCGAATCGCGGAGGTAAGTCCCCGGAGGCCAACGCGTTCGCAGAAGCCATAGAAAGGCAAACCAGGATCATGGCTGAAAGCGGAGAAAAAACCGAAACGGTCGACCATCCAAGTCAGTTGTAAGGTCCAATGGCCGACGCTTGATGACGAATGTAGCGATTACAGGTCAGTACAAGAGTTCTATGAAGCGTTCGAAGCAACGATTGGGCTTGCAAATGATGGCGAAGGGATGACTGACATGGAAAAGCTGACGACGCTGAAGGCCTGTCTGAAGCAACATCGCCTGAAAACGTACGATTTGATTTATAGGCGGAACCTCAGCGCGGGGGTAGTCCGTGAGGATCCCGGCGAGGTGTACCGCCAGATTCGGGCAAAACATCTTCTGTTCTCGGAGACAAGTGAAGAGAAGGAAATCCGGATCCTGGAAGAAGGTGACGGTCTGGAAAAAGGTAAGCTGTCGGCTTTCCAGTGGGAAGTGCGCTGGGAATCACACCTTGCTGATCGGGAAAGTGTCGGGTTAGGTCTGAACCCAAAGGAAGCGTTGATTCAGTATCTTCGAAAGATAGGCCCCGTGTTGTCGAGGGACGTCAGACATGATCGGCGTTTCAGGCCCGACGGGACCGGGACCGGGAAGACGGTCTTTCGCGCCGTCTCGTCGTGGGAAGAAGCAGATCGAGGAGACCAACGCGGGGCAGAAGGCATTGAACAACAGTACCTTTGTGAATCGGTCGGGCGAAGAAAAGGGCTCGGAAAAGGACCAGATCAATGCGCAGGGTTCGGAATCCCTAGCGGCGAAGGTCTGCTATGACATGAGAGACAAAGGCGCTTGTTCCCGAGGCAAGAATTGTAAATACTCTCACGACAGAGCAGTCGTAGAGGAGGCTCGGAAGAAGCAAGGAAAAGGGAAGAATCAAGAGCAGGTAAGCCGGCACGACGACGGCAAGAAAGGACATGGAGGAGGCAAAGGTGCCGGAAAGAAAGGCAGTGGTGAAGGTAAGGGCAAAGGAGATCAATGTCAAGATGATCGAAAGAGCAAGCCCTGCAAGTTTTCCCATAACGCAGGAGGGTGTTCGAGAGGGTCCAAGTGTCCTTTCAGCCATTCCGCTAAGAAGATTGGCGGCGGGTCGAAGGACAGCGCAGGTCCCGCTCTTCAGTTCGGCAACTTGCCTGATCTTGTCGGAGTGGATGGAACCGGTCCGGCCAGAGGAATGGACAGAAGTAATCCTTTTGGCTGTTTTGCGCCAGTCGTGGTCCAAGAAAAGAGCCAATCGACTGACAAAGTGCTAGCGACCGACCCCAAGGCGAAAGGAAGAAAGAAGGGGAAAGCTGGCCGCTCAGAGGAAAGAAAAGAGCGGAGGACAACTAGTCTCGCTCGACCAACTCCCGAAACGTTGGTGGACGGAAGCACCGAACAGCAAAGGAGGATACCAATACCAGACGGATGTGAAAATCGTGGATCGATGTGTCTTTTGGACGGGTGTGCGGGATGTAATTCGATCGCCGAGGAAGTGGTGGTCGGCGCCATCCGGACAGCGCTGGAGCAAGGTATCGGACCGGGGAACGACAAATTCCCGGTTGCGCAATTGGAACGCTGGCCGCAAGAAGAAGTCGTAATGGGCTTGGCCAACGACGCCCCGATCAAATTGAAGGGTGCGGTCGTGATGCGTGTCCTCTTGCCAGATGTGAACGGGCAAAAGACGGAAGAAATCCTCGTCAGGGCTAAGGTCATCGCAAAAGGGCTTTCAACCTGGCATGGGTTGATCTTAGGTGGTCGAGCGCTTGATGCTGTGGAGAGAGGAGGACTGGGGTTCAGGCCAGCAGCCTCCACTCACATCTTCGATGCGCTTGGAGTTAGGCTTTGGAGAAAGGAGGGAATGGAACCGTTCCCTGACCATGCCTACCCGTTCCCTGACCATGCCTACCCGTTCGTCTCCATCCCACTGTCAGTTTTCGACCGCGCAAGAAGAACCCTGGATGAGTCAGACAGTGGAAGTGATGGCAGCGCTACCACAGCCACTACTGCGGCTGAACCTACTTTGACACTGCCACAGCCGTCACGGTCTGCTCCTTCCTCAGAGGAGAATTGCATCGATACGACTCTGACCAGGTTGAATGGAGAGCCAAGTGAGAAGACTGGGAACAACAAGATATCAATTGAGCAGGAATTGGGGGCTTTAGAACAGTTGCGAGGATCTTCAT